TATATATATATATATATATATATATATATATATATATATATATATATATATATATTATAATATATATATATATATATATATATATATATATATATATTATTATTATTATTATTATTATATAATTAATTATTATATATATATATATATATATATATATATATAATCCTAAATCAGTAATCATAATCATTGATAACCTTAAAAGCCCAAAAAGGGACCCAATTTAAAATCAAAAAATCAAAAACCCATAAATCATTAACCTATTAAATACCAGGGGACTTACCAGTACCTCCGCATCACCCCCGTTTGTCGCACGCCCATCAACCCCTTGGTTGTCTCCACCGCCAGCCTCACCCTCACGTGTATGCTGATGAATGGCATGAATACGAATTGCAATAGAGAGGTGTTATATGCATGCGATGCATATGCACAGGAAATGGGAAGACTATATTATATACACACATGTATTCTATAAAAAAATTATACACATGTATTCTAACTGCAATATAGTGGTGTTACATGCATGTGATGCATATGTGCATGAAGACATTATGCACATACACGTCCTCTGGTTACTGACATGGATATGAGGAATTAGTAGTTGTCCGCATGCATGTTGATCAATGACATGAAACTATACACACAGGTACTCTGTTTGGTGTAAGGGGGTTGGGATAAGTTTGAACACATCCATGTATACTGAACCCTAAAAACCCTAAAACCCCATGTATACTGGTTACTGGACTTGAGCGAAGATTATACTTCACATGTACATTGTGAACTACATAGAGTACCTATTGATGAGTGTGAACGAAAGGGATAAGGGTGTACACATGCATATAACATTTACAGATCACCCCAGAAGACCAAGAGAAACGAACTATGAACCGATACATGCAGGACACATACATGAATATACATATACATAGAACACGACAACTTTCTCCTGTATACACATGTAGCAAACCTATCCATATCTAGATAAACAAGCATTTGCCCAGAAAACCTCTCAGAAAAACCCCCCAGAAAAAAAACCCAGAGGATACGATGAAGTGTATGCTAGCGCTAACCGATGACCAATATATTAAAATGATTTCCATTCGTTCTGAGGGTTTTAGGAAACCTGGCCCAGTCAAGTACCTCGTTGATACGCACGGATTCGTCCACTTCATTACTCGCCTTCTCGTCTGATGATCTACCTCCCATATTTTCCGGACCGGTCCTGATTTTCGGACCAGGTGCATCTGCTCGATCCACTACCTCGCCATTTCTGTCGGCACCTTCTTCCCCATCACCTAGCACCACCCCGTGCTCGTTGTTGTCTATACCCACCTGTTCAGCCCCTGTACCGGGTACAACGTCTACTTCGGGCCTTTTCTCTCCTGACAGGGGCCTTTCATGGGGTCTTTCTGTCTCTTCGTTTGCATTCTGCGTATGTGCTGCTGTGGTATGGTCCGGTTGGGTTGGCTCTAACCTGTACACATGCCTACTATCGTCGTTGCTATCTCCAGCTGTGTTTGGCGCCGTGTGCACAGACGCTTCGCTCTCCGTGTCTACCTTGCTATCTATTTTTAGATTCGCATGATCTATTTTTGGATCACTCCCTAAGTGCTCCAAACCGTCTTCTCTAACGGCTGGCGGTGGTGGTGTTGCTCCTCCTTTATTGTCCACTACTGGTAGAAGCGTGGTCTCGGATTGGGTATCTGTGGCAATCTGATAAGGCTCTGTGTACTGTGGCGCGTTGGGTTGGAGTTGCTCTCTGTCGCCTGTCGAAATGTGCACGAGAACGGGCGAGTGTGAGGGGATCGAGGCTGCAGCAGAGCATACACATTCAGTACGGCGTTACTATACAGGTAATTGGAAGTGTGCATGAAGAGTGCAGGTATAAGGTATAGAGAGAGTGTATGAGTTTGTGATACGGTTATATTGAGAGAGCGTATAAGTATAAGAATATTCACAGACACGACTACAGCTATGGATGTAGGTATACGGGCACTTATAAATATGCGAGTGAATAATCAAACAAAATGTATTTACACAACACACTCAACGTAGGATTCATCTACCATCCACCGCACCTGGTACAGATGGCACCTCGGCGTCCTCCAACCGGTCCGTCGCCATGGCAACGGGCTGTTCCTGGACAGGTTTCTGCTGGTGTCTATACACTGTCTCATCCGAACCTTTGTCATCGTCGAGTCGGTTGACCTTCCCGTTGGGTCTCTTGCCCATAAAGGCATTGCCAGCGGAAAATAGCTGAGCCAAAAATAGAATTAAGACATGTGAGATACAAAGCTCTGGAAGACTTAGAGACATATCAATGAGCTGCATTTTGTCACACAAACACACTCACACACCTACATACTCACACACACAATTAGCATGAGTCCTTCTAGCATATACTATGTTTAATTTATCTATATATATATATATATATATATATATATATATATATATATATATATATATATATATATATATATATATATATATATATATATATATATATATATATATTATATATATATTATATATATATATA